ACCGCCATTTGTGCGCCCACGTTGGACGCGGACAATGCCGTGAAAGGTGGGTTTTATGCAGGTTTACAAACCATGATGGAGAGAATTGTCCAGCGTGACCGGATCGTAGCGGATAGCAACTGGAATGATAAGTTCAACTCAGGACGACACGAACAAGTATATCCTCAGATGCTACAAGCTAGGCATATAGTAAGCTGATAGTTAGACATTGCTCCATTTTGCAGGAAATTAACTTTTTACTCGAACGATGATAGGAAGGCCAATCAGATTCAATGTGTATTGGTCGGTGTAACATTGGCTAGCTGTGTTCTCGACCGTAGGTTAATGCGCGTAGATGAGGCTGGTAATATCCATGACACAAGCAATCTAATGGTTCGCTTGAAAATGTGGGTCAGGTTGGCGTAGAAGCCTAAATCCCTCCCCAAAAAGCCTATCGACTACTCGAAACTACAGAACAAAACAGTGATTCAGGCGTTTAAAAAGGATATACAGGATTGTCTTCCAGCAACCAGGTAAAACATGCGATACCTTGAAGGAAAGGTGATCGCTCAAGCAGACCTTACATCATTCCGCTATCAATATACTTGGCTACAGTCAGCGGCAAAGATTAACGCACAGTCCATTTTATGGATTTGGCCGCTAAAGCAAGCTCGTATCAAAGATACGGCTAATTTCGCCACTCGTCGGTGGCAAGTATCGAGATCCGTCAAAGCCTAGAAGAACATGTATTGAGAATATGTAGCTAATGAAATGGAGGATGCAGCCCTTGTAGAGGACAAAATGAAACTTTATCAAGTAATTCGGAATTCAACACTGCTGGGAAATATAGGCGAATGTCTACACAGCAATACAAGTGATCCGACCGAATTTCACGGCTCTCTGGATCGATGAAGGCATAACTTGTAAACCCTTCTCAACCACTAACCTGCAGAAATCCCACAGCAACATGCGGTATCAGAGACAGATCGCGAACAATCTTCGTCTGTGAACCTCTCTCAAATGCCGAAAAAAGCTATCAAATCGCTGAGACGAAATAAAACCCATGGCTAAGTCTGCCTGTCAGCAAATCTATAGCAGAAGAATTTATCAGAAACCGTCGACTAATGGAACAGTTTTGCTATGTTTTTCTGAAGAGCGGGTGCCATAAGACTGAAGTAAACTGTTACTCCCATTAGCCAAAAAGAGTGATAAAACCCCCGCCAGAACCATCGTGGAATACACTTGATTGACGTAGCAGGAGAAATCTTTGTCACATTGCTACAGAGGCTCCAAATCACCAGTGAAAAACGTTCGAGACTCAGACTGGTTTGCGCGCTGAAAGAGCGTGCATCAATCAAATCTTCGCACCTCACCGCAAGCCTTAACACCGCTTCAGCTTCCAGCAGTCTTCACAGACTTTTTGTCAGGGTTCAATTCAATACATAGAGTCTCTATAGTGCATTGAAGAAATAGATTATGTACACTAGAAGTGTGTGGACTTAATTAAGGCTACCGCAGGAAATGAGCAAAAGTCCGGGTCTACGGTGAATCGACATTGCTTCTAGCATTTGTCAGAGCTACATCTTCCCTGATCTGTTCAACTTTGTCATCAATTGGTTCATGCAAACAGTGCTGAAGGTACTTGTCGACGTGGAGGTAAGTCATGGTCATTGTCTTACTCATCTCGACTACGGCGACGACATGATCATTATGTCATCGAACTATGACGAACAATGTACACTTAAGTCATGACGTGACTGTAACGATGGGCTAGTCATTAACGCAGCAGCAATGAAAAATTCTCCCACGGAATTCTGGAATAAGAGAAAAACTCATCTTCCCATGCGCTTCTTCTCTTGAAGAAGTCGCTACTTTCAGATATCTTGGCTCTTCCATTCTTCCAAACGAACTTTCTATCGAAAACATTAAGGCTCAGACAGGAACAACAAGGAAGGCTTTGCTCCAGCTCTGAAAGTCACTGTCGAAACGAAGTGAGAT